TTCTTCCTTGCTGTCCTCAATCCCAATTCACATTTCTTTGGCTCCTCTGTGCCTGGCTGCAGCAGCAGCTGCCCTCAGGGCTCAGCAGCAGGTATTCCTGCTCTCAGGAACTCCTCCTGGGCCTCTGGAAGGGCAGTGCTCTGTCCTTTCTAACACTGCATCACTCCCTACCCTCTCTGTCAGCATCATCCCTGGAGCTGCCTTGGCAGAAGCCTGAGGGTTTGGTTTGGAAAGTCTTTTTTACATGAATTTTTCATTTTTTCAAATTGTTTTCAATTGTCATTTAATATGGGCTTAAGTCCTCCTAATCCTTAAGACTACAGTGGAGGTCTTGAATGGTAGAAATAAAGACACATATGGATCATTATCTTTTCACAACTGGACTGAAGCAAAGGCCAGTGAGAAAGGCTGCCAGCCATGTCCCACCAGGTCTGTCTTATTCTCTTATTGAAATATCAAATAACCAAGTCTTCTTTTACATATATCAGATTCTCAGGCCTGAAAATCAGGACAAGGTAACTGCTGGCTTCCACCAGCTCCTTCCAGTGAGCAAGTACTGAACTGACTGAAGGCTGCTCTGAAAAGCCAACTTTCCTTATCTGCAGCTGGGTTTCTGAAGAGCCTAAGGGATTTAGCTCAGTCAAGTATAAAACTTCCTGCTCTATGGAAAGTGTTGGAGTTGGCCAAGGTTTCATGTGGCCAACTCCTGAAGCTTTGGGAGCTGGGAAGACGACAAGGAGGATGTGTTAGCCAGGGCAAGATGGCAATTCTCTGATGCTCTGATGAAAGAGAACTAGAGAAATCAACAGGAAGCTGGTCCTCATTGCTGGACCACAAGAAACATCTGGATCTTGTCTATCTTGTTTATCAAAGCTGAGATCTCAGGGCATCAATGGTTTTTAGCCTTGCTGTGCGGAAGGAGCCTAGTTTGTTTAAAGGTTTGTTGCAAAGCAATTGTGTCAAACTTTTGCAAAGTTTCAGCATCTTCTCTACCCTTTCTCTCTCCCTTGGGTCAGGTTTACACGATCCCTGTTCTGATTCACTGACTTCACTACTGTGCTCACTACAATCATGGCTAAGAGTGATGGAGGCCTCATTAGGAAGGCAATTAGTGCTGCAGGAGATGGAGGGAAAGTGAATGCACATTAGGTGGTACTTTTGAAGGTGCTGCAGGATCACTGTTAATACACCATTAAACAACTGTACAGGCATTGTGCACTGAAGCCAGTACCCAGGAAAGTCAATTTGTAACACACGAATGCACATTCCTGTATCTCTAGGCTTAGCAATAATGAAGGCTTAACAACAGAGATACAGAGGGACTTTCTTGTATAACACTTGCTATCATGAAGGAATTGTTAAAATTCTCTGCTTGCTGAGAGCACAAAAAAATGAAGACATAATTTCAATTCTAAAAAAAACCCCCTTGAATATCAGAAAATGAAAATGCAAATATTACTACTCAATGTCCAAATGTCATCAAAGAAGGAATTGGACAAATGTGAAAATAAACTGTCATTTGAGCTATTTCATTTAGCCTTGGGGTTTAACATTACCATATAAACAGGTTTGCATAATGCTGAGCCTGACTTTGGACATAACTCATTAAATCACATATGTAGATGTTCTGCATTTTGCCACATTCCCTTTCTGTGTAATACAGATTGATCACAGGAGTGTTACATGGCTGTCATGCAGAATGGGCAGGGAATTTAAACAAGCAAAGCATTACATACAGAGGATAAATGTGTGAATATGGAAACAGAAACCCCTCCCATTGAAAGGAATTTTGATCAAAGCAGGCTTCCAGCTGGGCTCCTGTTCAGCAAGGACTGGCCAGTGTGACTGGAAAAGAACACCTGCACATTCAGGTGAAGATGCATAACTCTTGTGTTTTGTACCAGCTGAGGGTCCCTGCTCTGAATTCTCCTTTTCACCAAATGTAAGATCTGTGAAGTTATTCTCTTCTGACCACTGACAATGTTCTTCCCAGGCTCCCAGTGCTGCCATTTCAAACCAGAGAACACACTAAGCAAGACTAAGTTGGGCTTAACAGCATCACCTTGGAGCCAGCTCTGATCCCTGATGCGGAGTCTGGCTTTATATGCTTTTTATTCACAACTACTGGACTTGGGAACTCAGACACCGAGTCTCATATATGTTTTTTGGATCCATGTCTGCATGAGAGTAGAGGTGGCTGTTTAGGTCCAAAACTTAACACAGCCCCCAGAAGATGTTCCAAACATGGCAGCTTATCTTTTGATGACTTCAAACGGACAGCATTTACCCCTACAATACTGTCATATCCTTTATTTATGCTGGACTTGGCTCTGAAATCCTAATTCAGCACTAGCACTCTGGAAGTTTTGCCTGAGAAAGGACTGCAGGATCAACCCCTTCAGCTCCACATCCTATATTTTACCAATAGCACTGGGATTGCCAGCTTGCTACAAAACTTCACTGTTGAAATGCTTCTTGCCTTTCAGAAAATAATCTCATATAAATTTTCTTTGAGATATTTTAAACCTAGCATATAATGCAAATGGATATATCAGCAACCATCTGTTTTCTTTCCCTTTTTTGTACTAAAACAAAATAATTTGCACCTTATTTTTCAAATGATAAAAGTGGCAGCTTTTTTCCTAACTGCAGAAGATGTGATTGTTGTCACCTTCTGCTTGGTCTAGTTAATGAAAACTTACAAAAAAAGCACTTAAAAACATTCCTGCTTAAGAATAAAAACATCAGATTTAAAAACGAAGTTATCTGCATGCGTGTGCGTGGGTGCACCCCTACACATGTGCTTATGTGCAAGACAGACTGAAGATTTTGTGGCTACCTCAGGAGTCTTACTGAGAACAAGCACTGCCTGGGCTTGTTAATAGATTTTATTTGTGTGCCTTAAATGTGACCTTCTTCATTTAATCTGCAGGGCTTGGACCGTGCAGTCACCATTGCATCAGTGTGAATAAAGCCCTGGATTTCACAGTGAGGATTGGAGGTCCCCAGAAAATATGAACTTCACAAAGGAATGTTACATTAAAAACAAGCACTGTTAAAAACCCCTACTGAATAAGTAATAACACTGTGATTCTATTACATAAACCTGTTGGCAACCCTGGTTTCACACACGTTTGCCTCTAGAGCTGGTTGAAAAGCTGGAACATTATCTTGACTGGAATATTCCAATCAGCTCTCATTGCTACAAACTTTCCTAAAGCTACTGCTCATGACTGACAAAATCGAGACAAAAAAAGAAAGGGAGGTGTGAGGGGAGGAAGGCCTTTTCTTAATAAAGGCAGCTTCAGTTAGTAAAATAACATAATCTTCAAGCTGCAAAAGCAGCACCTACTAATTAGTCATTGACTAAAACATAAATAATAAATACCTAAATTGTTCCTTCTATGCATCCATTTTTGTGCCAGATAAACATTTCAGTGCTCTGCCTTAATGCCAGCACAGCTGACACCACAATTTCAAGTCCAAAGCAAACTGAAGTAGCTTTAAACCAATACGACAGAGATACCTCAAGCCATGGGGATCTGTGTGTTACAGTCCTACTGCAAGTGTTGTTTAAAAGGGAATTCAACCTTCCTGTGAGACATGATTATGGAATGATCTAAGGGTCTGTTTCCCTCCTGATGTGGACACTTCACTCTCAGCAGAAAGTTATCCATGCAACACAGAAGGGTGAACAGATACCTTCCTTTATTACAGCAACAGGACTTCTTTCCTAATTAACCCAATGGCTTTTGATGGTCTTTTTTGGTTCTGTTGCTAACTAGAGATTAACACAGCAACAGCAACAAAGTGCATGTTTTTGCTAATGTAAAACATATTAGTTGGAGATGAATTTGTATATAAAACCTGTATTTCAAAAAGTTATTGGAATATAAATTAATTTTTCCCTCCTGTAGAAAATGCAGGTTGAAATGATGCAAAAACATGACTATTTAAAACAGGATGCAGCCTGCTAGGAATTCTGAAGACAGGCAAGGGTAGATTGTTGACAGAATAAAGTAAAAGCATGGAGAAACATGGCATTGTTCTCCTTCCCCTGGCTTTGGGCAGCAACCCACATCCTGCACAGCCTTCCAGGTTCCCTGGCAAAGGCTGGAAGGATCCTTCTTTAGGAAGAGATGGAGATCTGAGACCAAGGAAGGGAATTAGTGTTAAGACTTACTAGCCACTACTCAAATTAGGGAAGAAACCTGTTGTTGCTGATTTAGGTCCCAATTTTACTATTTTACTGGTTTACAACTCCACTGCCTGAGAAGAAACTCAGCTCAGCTCATGAGCAAAGGGTGTGAGCAGACACATCACATCCCACCCCAGCCTATACACACACACCTGCTCTACTGGCAGCCTGTGAAAATACTCAGGTACTGGTTGCTTCCAAAAATGCCTGCAGATTTGAAAGGGCTGAAATTCAAAAAAGTTCTTTGTTCTTTAATAAATACTCTTAGTACACTGACCCTGAACCCGACTGCATGAGACATAAAAGACTACTATAGCAAAACACTGGTTTCGTTTAGAGTTTATCATTAAATTTGTCTGAAAAAATCTCTGAAAGGAATCTCAAAGTTTCTGCTTTTGCTCGTTCTCTCTAACTAGGATAACAGACATCAGCTATGTCCAGAATTACTTTGTGTTATTAAAAACCCAAGTGAGGCTGTACCATAATTACTTCACATTCTCTGAGGTCATGTAGCCATACAGGCTTCAGCCTGCAGGAACCAACCTCCCCAGAAAGTGTAAGTAGAAGGGAATTTTGATGTGATTTATTCATTATAGCAAAATAATGAAAGCCTATGAAACAGCAGAGGCACGGACAAATTTATTTTAAAAAAACCCCTTTAGCAGCTGCTCCTTCACTGCTCTCCCCATGGCTTGGTGCTGCTGTTTCCAAGCCCACAGGCTGATGGGTGCAGTGGCACCTGGAATGGGACAGCACAGGCTGTGGGATGAGGCCACGCTCCCAACAGAGCTGATGGAGAGGGCAGTGCCAAAGGCCTTGTCAGAACTTCAGAACTTTTTTTTTGTTTGTTTTGATTTTGTTTTCTTAAAATGAATTCTATTACAACAAGTAACAAAAAAAATGTAACTTCCCCTTAGGTTTCTGAGACCTGGTGTGAGATTCACAGAGAAGCAAGGTTCAATTCCCTTTTAAAAACCTACGCTGGGATGGAGCGCAGCGGACGCTACCTCAGGCGGCCGTCGGGTTTGACAGGGCCCAGCTCGGACTTGGGGTCGGGGCTGAGGGAGCTCCAGGCGGTCTGGGCACAGCCCTGCAGCACGGGGCAGGCCGAGGGCCCCACGCTGCACACGTCCACGGCCGACCACACGCCGCTGACCAGCGAGTCCACCCAGGCGTCCAGGCGGGCGCCCACGAGCCCCGCGTTGCGCTGGGCCTGGTCGGCGCGGGCGGCGCTCACCGGGAGGTTCAGCACCGGGTTCAGGCCCTGGAAGCTCTGCTCCATGTACGCATTCTTTGGAGGCCCGCTGTGCAGCTTGATGGCTTCCTCTGGAAACGAGCAAAGCCCACAGTTAGTGCATTGAAAAAGCCACCGCTGAGGATCTAAGGTAAACAAAAAGAGCAAGGTTTAGGGGTGAGCTGTAGGCCACTTCCCACACATTGCATCCCCAGGGGTTGTGCTCGGCTTTGGCGCTCTTTGTGTTTAGTACTATGGATTCGCCTCACTGTGATTCTCATCCTGCAAGTGCTGCCTCTGATCCTGAAAATAGAGCCACCCTTATTATCAACATGTACAACCAACCCCGGAGCTGAAGGACATCCAGGACTGGCTGCACCTCAAAATGAGAAAACAGTTCAAGGACACCTGGTGCAAGAAGTCTGCCAACCCCTGTCAGACATCCAAGTGCTATTATTGATTTATCTAAGAGAAAGAGCCAAGATCTGAGCCTGTTTTGTTGTGGTTTTTTTTTTTCCCTAAACAGATGAACCTTGCTCTGCTGTGGAAAAGCCACAACATTTGTTAGCTCTATCTGCCTACAAAACCCAGGTGGTGCCATTTGTGGCACTAAAAGGACAACACCATGGTCTTGGACAGACCAGACCATAATGAAACACATGTAGTCCCAACATGATTCCAGGAAGTGCTCCAGCCTCACTGGAAAAGTAGTCTCCTGTGAGAGTTATATTTTCAAGCTCCTGTGCTGAACAGTAGATCACAACCATTCCCTAATGACACTTTGCATTGTGGTTGCTTTTCTTACCTATCTCCGTAAAATACAGTACAATACCCCAAATTTGCAATATTGCAGTAAAAATCAGTGTCAGGCTGTGAGAATCCTTTCAGAGACCTAAACTGGACACTGTGGGTCAGGCTGCCCCTGTCAAAGGTTGGCTGACTCCTGAGAGTCTGAGTGCACCAAGCTGCTGCTTATAAAATCAGGATGAGACCCTTGAAAAACCGAGTGCCAGTTGGGAGCAAATTTCCACCCATTTCTTTCCGCTCTCAGCTGCCTTCCCCAGCATCCTCACTCTGGCAGCACAGAGGATGTGTTTAGCTCTGCCAACAGACACACTGTCTAGAACAGAAAATGGGCCCATTCAGGCTGCTCCAGGCGAGGAAAGCCACCGCGCTCGGCGAGCGTCAGAGGCCAGGAATTACATATTCACAGCTACAATTCCTTCCACATGTCCTTGCTGCTTGCACTGCAGCCTGACACTGAATCCTTTCTTCCATGCAGAGGACAGCATCTCAGGTGCTGGAAATAAATCCTTGTATTTATTTAGAGGGAAAAAGGGTATAATTGGAGCTTTGCTGTTACATTTGCAGTCTTTAATGTCAAATACTGTGCAAGTCCCTTACTTCAAATCCCCAATTAAAGTGGTTCAGCACATGCCCATCACCATTATATATCATTTAACCGTTCCTGCATTTATCTAAACCCTTCCTTGTATTTTAAATGGCAGATACACACAATAACCTGTAGTCAAAATGAGTTCAATCTGTGCACATGTGTCAGAAATGTGCTCAGCCAGAGCACTGCAGTTTAAGAAATAGAACAAGTACACATGATTAAATTTCCTCCTTTGGAAGCAATTAAATATGGAAGACTGTTTGTCAACATTTTAGTTAAATAGGAACATTCTGAGTAAAAATTCCCAAATAAATAAGAGTTGGCATTACTAGCAGGATCATCTGATTGAAACAGGCAATTCAGCAAGCTTGTTGAATCAAAGCCTGTTGCACATGTGTTTGATGCATGGAACAAGAGAGATCTTTATTCAGACAAGAAACAGCATGAAATGGAACTTGCTGTTTTCTCTGGCTCAGCCTTGTACATGTCCCACGCCTCAGGACTTGGTGGATTATCAGGATTGGAAAGGATGAAACCTGCAGGAACTGCAGGACTCAGTGCTGGGCAGAGCAGCAGAGGCTGTGTGAAGGCTACCACTGCCCACAGTGAAAGGCGCTGCTCCAGTGAAGACACACAGAGAGCCCTGACCTGGTGCAGGTGGGGACTGCCTGCCCCACAGCAGAGCAGCACCCCAAGTTAGATGTCAGCACTCCTAGAAAGGAAAAGCTGGGCAACAGCAACCTGAGTGCAGAGTCACATGTACTCATCAGCAGGAAAAGCTGGGGACAGACCCAGAGCCCTCTCCTGGAGCCTCCAAGGCTTTGTCAAACAGTTCAGAGCAGAGAGCAGGGAAGGTGCTGCTCATCTGGGCAATGGCACATGGGCTGTTCCTCTTTGCATTAAAGGAAAAATGACAGAGAATCATGACTCCATGATTTACTGAGCTGGTACAGAAGAGAGACAGTGAGGCTCCCAAGCCTTGATATGCTGTAAAAAAAGGAGGCTGGAGCTACTGGGTGTGCTCTTGAAGCACTGACACTTCAGTCAAGTGTCACGAGGAAGAGCTCATGAAAAAATAATAATGAAGAATGTAAAGCTTGCCTCTAAATATTTAGACATTTAAATCTGTATGGCTAGTACAAACAACACAAAATTAGCTGAATTGCAGACATTAAGCCAGACTTTTTGTGCCTGCCCTTTGATTTCAGGAGGATGTGTATCAATGCAAAATATATTCCTCTGACTTGAAAATATAAATTTGAAAAACTTGGTTATTTTTGACCTCTATTTTTATTTGCTCTTCACCCATATGTAAGGACACATTTCTTAGTTGACTCTTCTTGGTCTAACTTTTTTGGATTAAACACGCAGCCATACAGGCTGGGATTTCAGCATTTTTGTGTGGGTTTGTTCATCATTTTGCAGAAAAAGCAAATTAGTTTAGACAGGCAGCAGGCTAAGGAATGAAAAATGTGGTTATCTTGGTACACATTAAGGCACTAGACCTGTGGGTTTTTTAAAGCAACACGAACGTACAGCTTTATTTCTTTCCTTGAGTTGTGTTAAAACCCTCTGGCAAAGAGGTAATTTTTTATTGACATTTTGTTTGTTTTCTCTCGCAGCAAACAAGACAGTGCTGCATTTGCTCATTGTGGAGCTAATCGACTCCTTGTCAGCTGGATCTGAACTAAATTTCAAAGCAAATCCCCGTCTTCAGGGTTTTTCTCAGAATGATGATTCCAGGGCATGTCTGCTCTTCTGCAGTCGTGCGCCTGCCTGCTGCTATTACTGCCTTTATCAAGAACATGTCATGTTACCTCTGGTTAATTTAAAGAAATCACAGCAGTTCTGACACAAGTTGCCACCCACTTTATAATCTGTATAGATGCAATTAGAATTGATTGAGCCACTGCAAACAACCAAGGGCAAAACAAAGGTTTCCCAGTATCTGCTAATTGAGATGATCTATAAATATGGATTAGGTCAAAAGGCCGCTGAGGTGCCTGAGTGCATCACCCATGTCTGCTAATGCTGTCAGCCCTTGAAAGGGGGCATAGGGACCAGGCACTGGTATTTCAGGCTCCATGGGAGCAGCAAAGATCAGCAGCCCCATGTCCAGGACATGCCATCAAGCTGGGAACAGAGTGGGAGAGCAAAGCAAAAAAGGAAGTTGCTCTTTCTCACTTCTTTCCTTGCTTGAAGGAGGAAGGGCTTTTATTGTATCCATTTATTTACAATCCAGGGTTTATTATCATCTTGAGGTTTTGGGGCTTTTTCTGCCCCAGAAGTGAACCTGCTACTGGCTCACAATAACCTCTTTGGCTTTAATGGAACAGGTACCATCCATTAAATGGATGACCACTCATTATTGGCACTCCAGCTGGCAGAGTACTGGGGAAACTTTGCTGTGAATATAAACTCAAATTTAAAAATGAAATTGCTTTGGCTTTTCCTGTTCCCATCACTGTGACCCTGAGAGTCAATCACACTTGGCCCTTAAAGAGCAGGGAAGTGGGGAAAGTGGGATGATGGAGATGCAGAGACAGCCTCTGCTGAATTTGCTGTTTTCTTATGATTTGAAGTCTGCTGGGTAGCTTGGATTACAGTCAGTGAGCTGCTGGCTAAGTGCTCTCAATGACACCTGTTGTTTGCTTCTGCAGCCCCTTCACAGGAGAGCTGGACATTTGGCCTTGAGTCTCCAAGCACTCAAATTCCTAAAGCTGCCAGCAGAAGTCCCCCACTCCTGTGTGATCTGCCAGTGATCTTACACGGTTCTGCTCCCTGTTTTGTCTTCTCCACATCCCATTCCCTCTTTGTCTTGGCTCAATTATTCCTAGAGCATCCTGCTGGTCCTTGGCAGCCCTCCTGTGTCTTTACAACAAGCGTGGAGTTCTTGGCTTTGACACACTCAACCATATGGTGAGAACCTCAAAACTGTTGTTTAGAAGAATAAACTGGAATCTGTCTGTGCAGGAGGTAGAGGGAAGGAGACTCTGATGGAGAAGGTGAACCTGATTTCTCCAAATGATTTATCACAAATGCACCTAATTTCCTTTTCTTTCCTTTCCTTTTTTTGCTTTCTCCAACCAGGCAAATACTTGCAGGCACTCCTGAGCCAGAGCATCTGCTGAAGGCAGAGCTGATCAGTGACACAACTCAAAGCAGAGAACATAGACACAGATTTGGATGGCTGGAGGGAGAGAAGGACCAGGAAGGAATAAGTAACATTAGATTATAGACTCTCCACTGAAATACCTTAGGGAGCCATATTTACAGTGGGAATACCCCAAACAGCATCCTCAGTAATTCCATGTAAGATCTGATCTTTCATAGATTCAGGTTTTGAAGAGGTCAATGAATCTGTGTTTTTAAAACAATTTACATTCTATCAGCTACTCACATCTGGACACAGCATCAAAGAAAATACTCACTCTTGATTTCCCTTTATGGCTTTACTTGCATGCAAAGAATTTAGGCCAAAATTAATAAATAACTGGAAATAAAAAACCCAAATAAATGAGTGGCATATGCTGTTTTTATAAACTGCTAAACAGAACATCTTTGCTGGCAGCTGTCCCATGATTATTTTTTTGTTTTGAATGCAATTACGAATTCTGAGGGCCATGATACAGGAATGAACGTGTTTTACTTTGATTATTCAAAAGAAGAGCCAGTGGCTCCCTTCATGATGCTGGGAAACCAAAACAACTTTTCCTTGTTGTGCTCTGGGCTGAAGTGATGTGTAGATAAGCAATGGTTTAGGAAATACAGGGATTGTTGTCATGCCCATGTTCTCCAGATACAAGATGTTTTTGTGCAAATGCTTTTTAGAATGGCAAAAGCAAATTGCACACAGGATCATGGAGAGATTTTTGTTTGTAACTTTGCGGACTCCACTTTCTGTATCTGGAGTGGATAAGACAGAGAGGGCAGGGCCATTATTGAGGAAATGACATGCAAAGTGCTACAAAATGTGTCAGTCCAGGGCAATCTTTCTGACAAGGGTTGTTATTTTATCAGGGCAGGGGAGGGCAGGGTGGGGGTTGGTGGTGGTGGTGAGGGAGGATGGTTGGAAAAAGGAAAATTTTAAAGAAATCCCTAATTAAACATATCCCCATCTTGTACTGACAACTCTGGGCTAAGTCTGATGTATTTTAGTTTTTATTTTCAATGCTAAGACAGGAAAATAATACTATTCCTTAATTTTAGAAGATTTTTGGCAGTTTTTGAATTGTTTATGGTAAGAGAAATCGTTCTTTTAGAAGTTCTAATTCTTCTGTCAAACTCTCATTATGCCTTTATTTGGCAGAGAAAAATGTTTTTAAAGAATAAAGTGATGACAAACTGACAAAAATCTGGAAATCAAAGGTAAATCATGATTGCCTGCACAGAGCACAATAGTGTCACTGAGACAGAAAGCCTTTAAAAAAAAAACAAAAACAAAGCAGGAATTTGCATTGTAAATGCAATTCTAACAACAGTGCAGTGTCGCTGCCTGCCCCTGTAATTAACTTTCTTCTCTACCTCCATGCCTCAGTCATCTACAGATTACACATCACATCATCAGTAGCAAATCACTCCTGAGACTTTTTTCCTAGACAATATTGTTCCCAAGCTTTATATTTCATTCCTGTAGTAGATTCTAGTTACCACAAGAATAAACAGGCTTCTTAACAAAAATGTGAGCCCAGTGTATCAATGGGCAATACAGGGTAGCTACACAATTTCAGTGGAATTATTCCTGATTCAGAGTTTGAACCAAAGGGAGTTTTGCCTTTACACCATAAAGTGTGGGCTTATTTTGAAGTCTGACACGTGTTTACCTGTCCATTGGGCTCTCACATTGTAGGGAAAAGCAGCAAGGTTGCTGGCTACATGCCACCTTTCCCATCCAATTTATGCCTTAAATGTTCAATTACCAAAGAACATGGAATTCATTAATTTCCAGCAGACAAGTTGGGAGCAGCTGCATTCAGAAGCAGGCTGCCTCAAACTTTGAAAATGTATCCCTTCTTCACATGGTGTCTGTTCACAATTTATCACTGCCTATTAGCTATTAACAGCAGTGGGTTGGAGGTGGTTTCGTTTCTGCTTAAGAAATGATGCCACCAAATGTTAGCAGCAGAAATCAGTGAGTTCACTCTGGTGCTGGAAATGTGTGGAATCAAGCTCCTGTTGAGTGAGATAAGGGCTGCATTAGCACTCAGCAGTTGTCTGCTGGTGTTTGCATTACAGAAGCAGCACTGTTGTGCTGGGAGGTAAATGCCTGACTCAGTTTATTTGCTGCCTTGTCAGGAGGAAGAACTTCTGAAAACTTAATAGGATCATTCTTGTATCTAGGAAATTTAAGATGTCTAAAGTTATGAATATTAATACTGGGCAGATGGAAGCACTTGAGCACTTTAAGAAAAATGGTAAAGATATTCAGAGCAACAAACTTGTTTTGATCTTACTGAATGAAAATCCAGGTGTAGGTGTAAAATGTTCCCTCTTCTCCCAGCACAGTGTCTTGGGCACTGGCTGCAGACCCAAAGCATTTGGATGGTGCCTCTGCCATGCAAACATGGGAGCCTGCAGAGCCTGGCAGCCCCAGCATGGCCTCTGTATTTGGATGGCTCAGGGCTGCTGTGGCAAGAAAAAAAGTTTCTTTCTAAAAACTGTCACTGTGGGTCTGGTCCTGACTGTATTTGTAGATATTTCTGTAACACAGCTGCTTGGCAAGTGCTGAGCAGGTTTTGGCAGGTATCAGGCAGAAGTGAATGCCTGGACCTGACAATATGTCAGGTGAGCTCTGGCCTAAGGTAATTTTGTCTAATCCAGCATTTTGTAAATTAATGCTTTTATTGTTAAACACACAGGCTTTGTCAAAAAAACAGTTTAAACACATGTAAGTCTCTAAGAGGAAATATGAATGAAAAGCAGCACAGAAAGGTCAAATTTTCTTTTCATTTCTAAATGATGGCTTTTATGATAGCTGTTAGATTACTGAGAGTCTGAAGTTCTCTGTATTCTGAACTGTGCATAATTTAAAGATACAAATAGTCTTTTGTTCAAAGTGGCTGTGTTTTACTGACTGGATACAGACACTTCCACTTCTCTTAGTGCTAAAATTTTCTTCTGACTTAGTATCTATAAAATCCCTTTCTTTAATCCTTTTCCAATACACTGCAACTTCATTTTTAACAGCTGCATTTACAGTGAATACAGACAAAATATCTATATTATTCTTGTAGGGAATAATAAAACTTACCTTGTTTGATAGGCTGCTGATTTGAGAAGGTGAGAGGAGTAACGAGGAATTTGGTTTCAGCTACCTGTACCCAGTGGTGCAGAATTTTTATTGTCCAGACACCAGGTCGCAGGGGCAAATTCAGAGGTGGTTTGTAGTGAGTAAACTCAGCACTGGATTCAATAAGAATATCATATGTTGCTGCAATTACATTGATGGGATCCACCCAAATGACAGTCACGGTGACATTGGGGCCTTTCCCCCACTTCTGCATCCCCACTGGCTCATCTGTTGGCCCAAGGAGTCCTCCAAAATTCCTGAAAAGCCTTTCCTTGGCATCCCACTCAGTGCCAATCTGAAATGAAAGAACACAGGGCTGGTAGCATCATCTCTGTAAGCACCTGAGACCTTTATGGCAAATAAGGGCTCTCAAGAGACACAAATCATATTTCTCTAATCACATGAATTATACATACATTTAAAAGCAACATGACCTAAGATCATAATGCATACACAAACTGTGAGGCAAGAAAGAAGGCTTGTTTTCTTGTTCCATTTCTGATTGATAAAAAGGTTTTCTTTATCTTAGAGTGACACAGCAGGTGATGGGAGCTCTCTCTTCCCACCACAGAAGCAGTCAACAAGGGACCAAGCCAGTGCACAGATAAAAAAAAAGTGACCCATCCTCTCCTGGGTCATGAAAATATATTACACACTTGAGAGATGGGGAGATGAACCCTGCAGCTGAGACCTGCCCAGCTGCTGCTAAGAACAGGGAAGACACTTCAGCTGCTGACTTCAGGACAAGTCACATCATATCCTTTACTACAATCCACCCATGAGATGCTGTCTCCTTGTACTCCCTCCCTGCCCCATGTGGGAATTTATTTCTTGTAAACTCTTATTGTCATAATAGTGACATTAGTTTTCATTTATTCACTACAGTAAACAGTAAAAAAAAGTAAAGAAGTTGATTCACAATCCAGTGTAAATACTTAATTGACCTTTCTTTTTCCTAGCAGCTTTCATGTTCCAGCGCTCTTTGTATGAATTTCAATGGTTCACCCATAGCCTGGGGGATGACACAAACTTCCCAGCTGTTGCCACTAACACTTGTGCACTACTGAAACCAGCACCTCTGCCCAGCCAGCATGGAAATGGAGCCACTGCCTTTCTTAGGCCAATGGGGAGACTTCAGTATCCCAGCACTAAAGCCAGCAGATGTTTATGAGGCTGAGCACTATGGAACATTTCCATCCATTCTCCTGTGTCCACAGGACTGAGGGCTGCACTTCTGCTTTTGGAGGCAGTTCTGGTATGAAACCCCTCAAAGTCCTTCTGGTTGTCTTTTGCTCTACTCTCCAAACAGTGCAGATGACCAAAGAGTTGATTTCTTCCCTGTATGGAAAGTCCCTGTGGGTGACCTCTGGAGACCCATGCACACACAGGCAGGATCCCCACTTTCAAAATATATGTGGGTATTGCAGATTTTCCCCACACAGGGCTGTCCTTATCCCTAAGCTTCACCTTACAAGGACACGGTCAGAACCTGCTTTCCTGAAAGCATAAGAGACAATTGTAGCTCATTTGCTTCAGAGATTTTTCTTCTAGATTTCATTTCACTTCATGAGAATAAGTGATTCCAATATAATACCTAAATCCCCCCAGATCCCCAAAACATAATGATTACCTGATGCCTATTACCTGTACTGGAAACTGTCCAGTCTCCAGTCTCTTCTAAATAAATCCCTGTGGTTGGCAGACAAATTACAGGAGGACTGCAAGCAAAATGCTACAAGGTCAGTAAAATAAAACCCTACCATCCTAACTCCATCTGTCATCACACAAATTCCTCCTACCAGGCTATGACACTGCAGAGTATGAGACAAAATGAGTCTTCCACTACTCTGCAATCAACACAGCATTTGTGGTATTTCAGAGGTATTTCACCCAGCACACCAGCTAATCAAACCAGACAGCATAGCCCAGATATCAGACCCAAGCACTGAATGCCTCAAGGAGCTGTCAGTGTGTGCTCTCCTGACAAGACTGACTGAATATGTATGGAAATAAGCTGAGAAAGAAAATTTCCTGACCAGGCCTTATTATCTACTCTGCCAACCTTCACTGAGGTGCAGCCATATCACACCTACCAGTGCTCAAGGGACCTAGAAAGAATAAAGTCACAACATGTGAAACAAACCTACACCCTCCTGGGCAAAGAAAATCTATAAGGAAGCTCTTTCCACCACATTCAGTATTTCTTACTGAAGAAGTCATTGCAGAAAGATTACTTTATCCTCAAAAATTAAACATTCACTCCTGACATCCAACTATTTCCTCTCTAGTTTCTCATCCCCGAGAACATAAATCAGAAAGTTCCAGTCCCCTTGCTCCATGCCAGGCTTCACAGAAGATGAGATGTGCTCTCACACACAGAGGTTTATCAGACTGCTCTGTGGAAGAGCCAAGGCTGCTTTTGGGGGAAAAATTGTAACACAATTGTTGTCTGGTTGTTAAGCTTTTGCAATGGGCTCCCTAAAGCAACCCAGAAGTTGCAGCCCAAGGGCAGGGCAAGAGGGGAGGGAAGGACAGGTCCCCCAGATCCCTGTGTGGGATCACAGCAAGGCTCCACAGGCACCTCGGGAGGGAAAGGCAGGGAGCTCTACACTCTGCTCATGGCATCTGCCCTTCATGTCTCATTCCCAGCTGGGGACAGACTTTCCCATGCTGCACAGCTTGCAGTACCAGCTGCTTTAAGAAGCACAATATTTTATAGGGAATTTTACTTAAAGCACTGGTTAGAGGTTTATAACCCCTTGAACTTTACACAGCTGAGTTCCCAGCACTGAGATGTCCAGTTTTACAGGGCAAGAGATACTACAGCCCTATAATAAGTTTCACAGCTCTTTAAAACATTGTGAGTAGGTTTTCACTTTCAAATAGAATACACCAAGTATGGATGGAATCAAACAGTAATGAATATCTGATAAATTATGAAGAGATGTAGCACAGAAACTGACATTTTCCACATAATTATTTTAATCACCTTTATTTTGGGCCTCAAGAGCAAGCACTGTGCACGGGGTATGCTTGGAAAGCTGGAAATCTCTCATTGGCTCAAAATTTCTGTTTCTATCTCTGTTCAAACCCAGGTAAAATTTTCCCAAGATAAATTATACCCTGATTATGGGTTTGTGTCTCATTGCTCACCACAAACAGGACCATTAGGTTCACACAATGCACACTAATTGCCTGCCACCTAGTTTATTTTATTCTCTGTGATGAATCACAACTCTTAACAAGACCAGAAACAGCATTTAACTGATAGAGGGTGAGCTGAGACTTTTAGTTCAGTGCAGCAAATCAATTCCCTGCCCTGCACAGAGAAGCTGCCTGAACCAGGCTGGCAGGACACATAGTGAGTGCATTGTGCACGAGCCAGTTTCAGGAGGTGTGGGAGTTCCATGCTTGGAAATCATCTCTTGGGTTTCCTGTGGGTTTATTTTCTTTGACTCAGGCTGCAGGAGCCATGTGCCATGGAAATGCTGCCATGAACTCCCCCAGGTATGGGGCAGCCCAGCTGGCTGAGGCCTTCCCACTTGTCTGTCCAGGCTGTGGGGTGAAATCTGCTCCTTGGGGATGAAGCGGGCAGGAGGCAGGGGCTGGAGAGATCCCACCAGCTCTGCTGCAATCTCAGTTGTGCACCAGGGCCACAAATACACTGGGGAGCACACGCAGTGCAGAATATTTGTGTGCTCTTCCTGCTGGCCCCAGTGCTGTGAGCTGGGACACAGGAGAAAGTTCCCAGCTAAAATAGCCCCATTCAGTTTAAAATTCCTGCCAGATCATGGGGTGAAAGTTGTTGAAGAACAAGAAGTTCTATGTCCCAATAAGCATAAATCTTAATTTTATTTTCTGTGAACACTGATGCTTCCATCCCTAGCTAAACTGCTAAGTTTGTTTTCCACATGCTGGACCTTGACAAAGCAGTGGCATTTTAATAAGCAGTAGCAGATCAGAGCTTTCCAGTCACACTGAAGTTGAAGAAGTTAATGCTGGATTTATAGCAGGGTAAACTGAGACAATTTGACTCAGAGGCAGAGATCTCTGCAGGCCAAGGAAAGGCAGAAAGTAAAAAAAAAAAAAAAAAAAATTAAAAAATTAAGTTATTTACTTTGTATGTTCTGGTCTTTTAAAATATGAATCATCTCTGAAAGGAGAGGACAATTAAAGAGGTTAGGTGATGAAAATAAAATGAAAACAAGTAAGCAGCCACCAAAACTCTTTTTGTTGAGTTTCAAACAGAAGAAAATGTTTCCTTATGCTCAAAAAAGCTCACCAGTGATTAAATCCTTAAAAGTACTAAATAAGCAGAAGAAATACTCCTACAAATCACAAGAATTGGAGCTTGTATGAACATTTATCACTGCATGAAATGGCAGGCTACCATCCGACACATTGACAAATGAAACACACTTTCCATCCATCTCTTTAATGGCACATTAGTGTCATGGATTTGCGCCATGCACACCAAAACACTGAATCCCACCTAGGCATTTCTTAATTGCCCAAGAAGATGGTAATTTATGGACTTAGCCATAATGACTGGAACACATTTCTTCAATCAATTTTATGCCTTAACTGAAATTTGTGGCTTAACAAGAAAAATCATGAAATTAACTGCTCAGACAATTGTATCTTTAAAACAGAACACAGATGTCAGGTCCTATTAGTAGTCAACTTTCCTGATATACTTTAGGTAGATTTTTTTATACTCTATGACAGACATTGCGACAAATTTCTAGAAGAATAACAGGATTTGTGGGAAATCTCAGCCACTGCTGTGATAATTTTCTCTTTTGTGTTACAACATCAATATTCTGCTCACATGTGGTATCAGTACCTGACTACCACTAATTTTGAGAGGTTTTTCCAGTGTACACTTGAGAGACACAGTTAAACATGTCACCATTTACATCTGGAATTGCAGAAAAATGGAATTTTCCCCAGGAGCCTTTCACAGCACTCACAACAAACATGGTGGCAAAACTTTTAAGTTACTTTTAAATTACTGAGCCCCTTTGACAACAACAAAAGGCTTCCATTTGTTTTTAAAACAGAAGGGAGTGAGGACACTCAGCTTAATGTAAGAAATGCGTGTTGACCACAGACCTGAACTGCCAATGGTGTCTCCCACGATGAGGAGGTACACTATGCTAGAAAGCCATTCTCACCTCAAATTTCCATGGAAATACATTTTCCAAAGGCTGCTGATTTACTTTCACTTTCCTGATGCCAGAGGAGTGCATGGCTGGCTATAAACACTCACCTCTGTGAACTGCAGCCTCCCAAAATCACTCGGTGGACTTGCAATCTTGAAGACTTTCTTGGGCATCACCCAGGTTTCCAAAGTTTCCAGTTTACTGACAGCCAGGTTGGTTGCGTGGTGCCTGATCAGGAAGCCTTGGAAACGGTCAGCAAGGAAGTAAAGGTGGATGGAAACTGGATGGCCCATGGGGTAGTATCTGTAAAACAGCACATGCTCAGCAGTTATGTAAGAGAATGAAATCTCCATTTACTTGGAGCTAGTGGCTTAAGAAGCATTCATTTCAACTAGAAAATCCACCACTGTACATTAAGAGATTTCAAATGTGTTCATGACTCATCATCAAATATTTTTAGGCTGTTCCGATTACCCCGTAACGTAAAAATATGTTACTAAGAATACAGGCTCATTAATTCCATATCCTCAGCTCAAAGCTCTTTAGGAGTCCTTGTGTTTGCCAGAGAGCTCCTCTCCCTCACCACCTCCCCTGGCAGAAAGTGGCACCCAGAGACACCCAGAGATTGTTAGGGTGCAGCACTGTTTGCTCGGATAAACTGAGGATAAAGGATGCCCCAGGACTGTGCCTGTGCTCCAGAGCTGCCCTTGCTGCCCCAGCAGGGTCAGTGCCTGTCTGCACAGGACACAGGGAGAGCTGTGTGACCAGGCACTGACCTCTCCATTCCCAAACCCCTTCCCCAAGGGCAGGGCTCTGCAGGCTGGCATTGCAGTGAAGGACACCAGGATCCTGTCCTCATTTTTGGTCTCTGTATATCTGAGAAAAAACTACACATTCTTTAAAGACTTGAGATTGCTTTTGTTCTGATTTTTTTACTCATAATCAGAAAAATAAAAAAAAAAAAAAACCTTGAAAAAGGCCAAATAACTGGGCAAAACCAATCACTGAGAGATCTGGAAGCCTTCAGTTGGAGCTGAGATTTCAAGACATTGTAGTCACAGCTTCAAACAATTAAAATGTACAGTTGATCGTCTGCTATGGCCTCGGAAACATCTGTAACAATGTTTGGGTACATATGGATGCATAAATAATTAAAAACGTGTTATTCATAGCTCAAAAACTGAATATTTTGCTACTTTACAGCACTGACATTAACTGCAAGAGAAGTTAAACCAACCAGCATCACACCTTCCCAGTAAGTCAGCCAAGCCTGACTCCTCAGGCTTGTTACCACAATTAAAGGATGAGCACTAAGGATGAGCACCAGGGACAACTTTCCATTGCATGAGGTCTGCAGCACCCCAGAAGGAACTCTTAGAGCTGGAGAAATCAACATAAGAAGACAGGGTACCAACAGGACCAGCACTGATGGACCAAGCAAAACCACTGCAAAGCTACACAGCCAAGGCCAGCAACAATCTGACTTCTGTTCCCAGTACTAAGACCTCCTGTTTTATATGTGTGCAGCAGCAAATATTTACAATATCCCTGAAATAGACTGAGTAAATTGCATCTTGGCAGCAGAGAGTAAAAATGCCTAGGGATGGAAAAAATGAATTAAATCTCAATCACACATGAATGTTGCTCCCACGGAAGATGCTGACACTCCATCTCCTTTGGTACCCGAGCAGTCTGAGGGGGGCACGGCTTTCTGAGGCTGTGGGATGGCCCTGGTCAGGGAAGCGTGCAAGGCAGCTGCTCTTAAAGCATCTCCTGGGCTGCTGTGGGTGGCAGCACGGGCCTGACTCCAAGGGGGATCCAAGGCAGGAGCTGCTTTCCTCCCAGCATGAGCTGGGGTGCTGCAGGCACAGGACCAGCCAGCCTGGGCTGTGCTCAGCCCCACAGCAAAGGGAGCACTGTCGAGGGGCTCAGCCCAAACCCATCCTGCCATTACTGCATGAGAGACATGCAAAACCACGAGGGGGAAAGAGGAAAGGTATAGGTGCAAACACCCAGAAGGACAGCACAGGATCAGAAGTGAGGAAATGTGAATCATAAACCTGAAGATCAGCCATGTTTCTCTGATCTGACCTGAATGCTGACTCACAGTGTCTTGAGGGGGCTCAGGTAGGTATCAAAACAAAGCCTCCACTCTGTATCACTGTTTGCAATTCCTCCCTGCACTGTTTCATGAGGCTCCAGCCTGCTGAAGGATCTGTGCTTTATCCTGGAGACACCTAGAGTCATGGTGTTCCTATCTATAATCTGAGCAAGCTTGAAAAGCACCTTGAGTTCCTATGCAATGGAAAGTTCCTCAGAAACAAAAGTGATAATTGATATAAATCAGCACCAGAATACTGGCAAAAGGACTGAGAACAAAAGTAATTGTAAAATTATTTCAGTACTGGTTATACATAGTCCCCATCCTCTTTGCTGGCTTCATTCTGCAGGACAAATGACCCAGGACTTCCTCAGGTCTGCCTTTATTTCATATAAGGAAGGCATGCTACTAGTGATTATTTCTATCTAATTGTTATTGATCTTTTATTGCTTTGCACTGGTAACCTTCACTGACAAAAGTCTAATAGGAATCTGGAGCACTTATTGCCACATCTTTCTAAATGGGGCATTGCTCAGCACTTCTATCACTACTTTAGGAAGGTCAAGGCACATTTGGTTCCCTCTTGAGAACACAACATGGGCAATGTCCATCCATCAGAGCACATGGAGTGTTTGCTGACTTAGGCTCTATGTGTTTTCTATTAGGATAAAATGAGCAGGCTCCAGAAATACATTCTGAAGATGGAATTAAGAGATGGTAAAGTAAGACTTTAAAAGAAGAACCATCTCTGCTTTAAATCTAAACAGCTCCAGATGTGTTTGCAGGCAGCAAATATCTACCATTAAGAGAACTTTTCTATGCAAGTCTAACTTCAGGAATTCTTCCTTCAAATCCCTTTTAGACTGAATTCTTCTTAGCCAGGCTTAGAGGTGAAAAAGGAATCTAGAATATAGGGATAATTTCCTTTTAAAGAATAAGGAATTTCATTTGAGATAAATATAACTACCTATATATAGATATATAAACACCTACGTATATTTTATGTATTTGATGCTAATAGATCTTACCAGCTGCAGCACTTTTGACACAGAGAGCTGCACCAAGCAGGCAAACTGAGCCAAGCAAGCTCTCTGCACTCCATGTGTGCTCCCAGGGGAACAAACAAGCAAGGACCATTAACCTGCCTGTGTTCAGATTTGTTCTGAAATCCTGTCCTCTGCTTCTGGTAAGCATAATAGAGGTGAACATGACCTCTGCTGCAATCACACGGAGGGTTTAGGAGCTGAGGCTATAATACACTTGCTGAAATTAATCAAGGGAAACGCAGCAGTGGGGGTAGCACTGCCCAACTGGATCCTGTCAGTCTTCATCAGGCTGGAGAGGAGCTCCTTAAAAGTGCAGCAAACAGGTCACATAATGTCAACCCGGAATAACCAACGCTTTATTACGGCCATAAATACTCCTGGAGATCGGCGCTGCGCACTTGCAGCTGCCCGGCTGTGCTCGTGGCCGTAGGCTCCAGCCAGCACAGCAGAGCAGAACGAGCCCCCAGAGCCTCCCTGCGTCCCCTGGAGCAGCAGGGCAGCACTGACCTGCAGCTGTTGTCCCCAGCAGCGTGGAAGGAGCTCTCGGCCCTGCGCAGGCCCAGGCGGGAGAAGGAGTGGAACATGGTGAGGGCCACGTCGCTGAGGGCGCCCGGCCCGTCGGGCTCCTCGTACACGTTCTCCCAGTAGGAGCGCAGCCCCGGCGTGCCTGGCGGGTAATTCCCGTACAGGAAATAGTCCAGCTGCCCAATGATCTCCTGGTTCACCACCGCCTCAAACTTGCGGGCAAAGAAAGTTGGCCTGGCAGTCTGCTGTTGGGACAGGACAGGACAAAGTCACTTGTGGCCACAGAGAGAAACACAACTTGCACAAAGGCTGTGAGAGAGAAACACAACTTTCACAAAGGCCGTGAGAAGATCAGAGAAAAGAATGAGAAACAATTCTTATCTTAACTGGCTGCACCTGGTATTGTGAATGTAGCCATGATATTTTCTGAAAAATCCTTTCCCTAGGATTTTTTCTCCTGAGAAGCTGAGAGGCCTCAGAAACAAAATGTAAACAATGATTATCTGCTGCTGTGGAATGCAACAGGTGGATCTGTGATTGGTCTCATGTGGTTGTTTCTAATTAATGGCCAATCACAGTCCGGCTGTTTCAGACTCGCTGACTCCTGTGGTCAGTGACAGGATTTTGTTATCATTTCATTCCTTTCCTTGCTAGACTTCTGATGAAATCCTTTCTTCTATTCTTTTTGTATAGTTTTAGTATAAAATATATCATAAAATGATAAATCAAGCCTTCTGAAACATGGAGTCAGATCCTCGTCTCTTGCCTCGTCCTGGGACCCCAGTGAACACCACCACAGTGAACATGTGGAATGTGTTATGGAGATTTGTTTAACAAAGGGTGGTTTCTTAATCAGCCAGCGGTGCTGGTGTTTGGATTGGAGGACCAATTAGGTCCAGCTGTATTGTAACTGTCTGTAAGAGCAATGGGTTTCTTAATAAAGAGATTATTAATCAGCCTTCTGTGAATCATGGAGTCTATGCTAATTATTACCCAGCCAGGGGCCTGTTGTGATGATAGACACTGAGTTCCCATTTTCAGACATGACACTTTGTCTTAAGCAATGGGTTGGAGTTGAGGACATGAACTGTTTCTCTCCATGGGCAAAGATGACTTAAAATGTCACCTTTGGGACCATTCGTCATTAGGAGTGATTAGATTGTTAAGATCTAATCTGATTAGAGTGTTAAGATTCAGCTAAAAACTACATAATTAGTCCATGAAAACCCCTTCAGACCAACAGGCACCCTGTGCTGCCTGGCTCAGGAAGGCTTCCAAGTGCAGGAGAGCTGGGGAATGCTCTCCAAACCCCCATGTTAGCCTGGAGACAGGGCAGCACTGGCACATGTTATGCAGGGAGCAAGGTGTACTGTGACACCGGGGCTCAGAAGAGGCAGAGCAGCATTTTCTGTGTATGGATTTGCTGCCAGGAGGTGATGAGAGGTCTCTGGGAAAGGTACCATTTGTGGCTGTGGTTTCTCCACTTCTGAGTGGTCCTGCCCAGATTTTTTCTCAGCTCTTGACACAATCTTGGGCATATAACTGCTTTATATGCTACTCAGCTACGATTAGCTTTCAAAAAGTCTTTGTTTTGCCTTGCTCATATTTGAGCGTGGGTCCTGAGGTGCCAAGGAGTTCAAGAGGTGCCCCAGATAGTTGGAAAATTCTTTTGAGGATGCTCACTTTTGCTCTGAGATGGCGCATGCTGTGGGCTTTGTGATCTCGGCTTACTTTGTGCCTCTGTGGGAACAGCAAGCCCCAGCCTTCTGGTGCTGTGTGCTCATGTGAGGGGCTCTCTCACCAGAATGTGTTAGAAACTGCCTTTTCATCTATTCTAATTTTGAACTGTCCTTTCCAGCTCAGTTTACCTGATTGTTTTCTGAAATATCATTGTGGGTTCACAGCCTGGAGCAGGTCAGGCTCTGTAGTCTGACAGGAATTTTTAAAGATTTGCAATTTATTCTGTGCTTGGAGAATTCCAAACACATATTTGGGACAGCAGAGCCTCCTTTAGATAACATCTCATTTGCTCTTTTTGTGAGTGCCTGTGTCACTGACTTCAAGCCTGCCTGGCAGACAGCACATTACAGCAAAGAAAAGATCTCTGTTTCAGAGCAGTCATCATTTCTGTGCTGTAGGGTAACACACTCCCCATCCCACACAGAGCCTGAACAAACATGCTTTATGCAGGGAACCCCGAGGAGCTGGAGGGATGGAATTGCAAATGTGGTGACCCTGAAACAAGTGGCTGTTCATTCTCAATAGAGGATGCACAGTCCAGATACAGCCTCGAGACTGAGTGCACCCGGAGCACAGGACTCGCTCTCATGTCTGCCTGGAGGAAACTATCACCAAGGAACTGAGCAAACCTTTCAAGACAGTCCTGCCAAACCTGGGTGATCAAAAACCTCATGACTAAGGCTCCCAAAATCATGAGATAAACTTTAATATGATCATGCTGATGAATATAATAATGAAAACGGATTTGCTTTGTGCTGTGTAAGTCTCTAGCACGCACACTGATCAACTTCAAGGCTTTTTTTAAAGTTGATAAACACTGCTTAAAGCGAAAGCCAGGAGTGTGGTGAAATGATGAAAGCACCTGAGCTGGAACATTGGAGAAAACCTTTTGCAATGAACTCACAAGAGTTACCAAGTAATAGTGGTACAGTCAGAGATGTGTCAAGCTTCTCTCCTTTCCAGAACAGCCAAATACCAATTCCAAGGAGTCCAAAGAGTTCCTTTGTGACCTTACCATGCAGAGGTATGTCTCCAGGGCCAAAACATAGGAGAACTTATCTTTCATTCTTCTGAAATTAAGATCAGAGCTTCCTCACATCTCTTTCTCCACCTGCCTGATGGAGGGAAAGCTTCCCTTCCCTCTCCCTGCTGCAGCCATGCATTCAGCCAGCTCTCCAGCCCAGTTCAGGGGGAAGAGCCTCTCTGCAGGTGAGTTCAGTTACCTGGAAGCGGTGGAAGTCTGCTGGTTTGAAGTCATTGGGTGAGCAGCCACACCAGTCAACGATGTGCTTGTACTGGCACTTGCAGCCCAGCTTCCTGTTCCAGTTGGTGATGCGCAGGTTGTTGTCCACCATGGAGTCACAGAACGGGCTGTTCTCCAGCACGGTGTGAAAGAAGGACTGCAGCAAACACAGAGCACAGCACCATATTTAGCTCCTCAAACTTCCATTTTCTCCTTCGCTTCAGCTCATGGGCCCAAACCTACTGCAGGTGACCTATTTTAGTTTGAAATGACAGCATTAACAAGCTCTGTTGTTTTGCCACATATGAAACACACTCTGTGTGCCTGTATTCCACAGAGCATGGAGAAACCACAACACTCTCCAGACCCAACCAAACTGTAAGAACACATAGCTGAGGTCTTGCTCCAATAACCTGGCACACAATAATTGCACTTCTACAATGACCAGCTTTGGGCACTGGCAGCCCAAAGGCCTCCAGGAAAGGCACCAGTACCAGCAATCATTTTATTTTTATTTCAGCTGTGTGAGCAATTCTAAGAAATGCCCATTATTTCCTTTCTGTAAGTTGCTCCCTGGTCTAACAGATTTAGGACTATTTTTCTGAACAATGTACTAATGGCATATTTCAAGTTGTTTCCCAAAACAATTGTCAAAACTGCACTATCACCCTGGTTACTCTGATAAAAACACAGTCTCAGACAGCTCTTATGTGGGTGTCTATCTCCAGCACTCTGAAATGCATTGCTTGTTGAGTGGCTTTGTTCTGAAACACGCAGCTCACTCTAGGCACCAAAAGGACATTCTGCCTCCTGCATTTACATCTGAAATTGTAAGTCTTTATTTGCTGACTCATGGCAGCATGGAATTCCTATTGGGCAATCCTAATTATATCATCATAATAACAGCTATTACATAAACCATGTGTAAAGGGGACTGATACAGCAGGTTAACAGGTCAGTGAAGGCAGGGCCATTTTACAAAACCAGCTATGTGTCTTGCAAAGAAAACCTTGTAGAAAAAAGCTATGGAATACCATCAATTTTAGCCCTGCAAGAGACCATTTTTGGAGCAGTGACTTCTCTTTAAAATCAGCAATAGTAAGATCTATAAATAACCAGCATAACATTAGCATGGCTGGCCCCCAAATAATCCCCCTACCCTTTTTAATGTTAAATGACAGCCCAGTGAATATGGATTTTATGCTTGAACTGTTTGGTTAAACCCATAAAGGCATCCATTCTCATTCAAGCGAGAGGGGAAAAAAAAACCCTACCCAATTACCCATTGCCCTGTGTCCTTTTATAGCAATACAGGAATTTCTCTAGATAATGGATGAAAAGGTTATCAGAGTAGAGAAAAAGGTGATTTTTAACAGAAATGGGATTAAAAGAAGATTATGTCACATGTGTGGGGAATAATAAACCTCTACCAAAAGATAACAATTGCTGTGCTCCACCAGAAGCTAACAAGCAAGATTTGCAAGACTGGTGTCATCCATCCCTCAAAATGTTCAGGAACCAAGGCAGTTATGGGTTTAGAGGCAGTCATCAGCTCTTCCTGGGGCTGCAGGATGTGGAGCAGATGCTGGCAAGCCAGGGGAGCAGTGTACCTGCTGGGGCAGGTGTAGCACAGGCTGCCAGTGTGCCCTCCCTGCAGATAGTGCACACTGCTGGCACATTGCTGCACGCCAGGCAAAGCCCCACACTGCTGTGCACTCCCCTTCTGCATCACTTGCAGCCAGAGCGACTCCTGAGTGATCTAAATGATTTGTGACTGTGCCTTCTGGCTGAGTTTTGAACAGAACAATAAACCTTTGTTTGCAGGGTTTATATTTTTAAGAAAAGTGCTGGATAATAGCAAGGAAAGCTACTTATGAAGACAATTCGCCATCTCTAATATCCTTCAAAAGCTTTGTGCGGGAACAATTTGCAAGCAAAGGGCAGCTGGATTTTGGTTGTTCAGTAACAGATTAATAGGCTCAGAAGTACAAAACAAAGCCACTCTTTGCAAAAAAGTCCCACAAACAAACAAGGCAATAAACAGCTGCAGAAGATGTTCTATCCCTAAAGATGTTCTATCCCTATACTCATTACAGAAGTAAAATTTTCATTACCCACTGTGGGATGCTCCAAGCCCAGTGACATCAGGTGAAGGCCCCTCTGATTTTGGTCAGATTTTTGGGACAAGCACAAACGTTGCAAGTTTGAGCACAGAGAGGATCCTTTGCATTCACATACCTCGGCAGGAAGCAGCGTGTAGGAGTAAAACCTCTTCATCTTTGTCACCAGGTCATCATTGGAAAAAGTGACATATTCCACAAACTTTCTGTTGAGGAGGAACCAGTCTGAGCCCCCATCCACGGTGATTCCTTCTGGGATCTTGCGGTCCCCCAGGCGCCACATGTGCGTGTCGCACTCCAGGAACAGCCGGTCCAGCCCCTGCTTTCTGATAAACCTGAGGGAACGCAAGAGCAGCCACTACATGTTAATTTGTAGTTTGCTATCATCGGGAGATTTATAAATAAAAAGCTACTTTAGCGAACAAAAAAGGATCAAAAGGTCACTGGTTTATATTTCTATTCTACTCATAAGTAATGTAGAGAGGTTTAATAAATGATTAATCAGTTCTATATTCTGTTACAGAGGCAAAGATCAACATATTGCTTTTAAACATTATTTACACCTTCTGCTGTCCTAAGGCTGTGCAGGTGACAGAGCTCTAGGGCAGGAAAGTCCATAATGTTCATTAACTCTGAACAAACCACCACAGAAGAACTGCAACATGAACAGGAGCTAAACACATTCTTCTCTCGCTAAATAAATTCAGTTTTTGAAAAACAGAAAAATGTACATAAAGGTAAAATGACCAATTTTCTCCTATGCTATTATGTCATATATTTTTCTATAGGGATATAGTCAATAAGGAAAAAATACCATTGTATAGGTCTTTGCTGTAGAATGAGCAAGTTTGCTCCATTTTCAGGTCTCTGGGGAGCAATGTTTTGTTATTGCTGAACCATGAATAAGAGGAGCAACTGCAGAACTGCAAAGTTATGGAAATGAATTATTTGAAACCAATATAAAAGAAGAAAGCTGGGAAATCAATCTGTGTTTGAAAATGCTTTGGACTGAATGACCACTCATCTTTTGAGGCTGTCTGATCCAGGTTTCTGTTTGTTATTCCATTTGGGAATGGTTTCCCTGAAGGAGAGGCAGGGCAGCTGTGAATTAGCACTGAGGGGGGCTGAGCACCATCCACCCTGGCTGGATGTGAGCACTGGGCGCATCCCACATGTCCTCAGCAGTAACAAATGCTCACTGACTACACACCAGAGCAACCCACAGCCCCCAGACCCCTCTGGGTGCAGCACCTGCAGGATAACAACAGCTGTGGCAAGAGCCTTCCCTTCCTGAACCCACACAGCTGTGTCAGGGCATTTCAGGATTAGCAAGATGACATTTTAGTAGTCCTCAAACACATGGTACTAAAGGTAAGGGAAAAGAATAAAAGTTAAGGAACAACAAACACCAAAGCTTTCTGGAGTCCTGCATCTGGAAACATGAGCATTAACCCCGTAGGCCAGCTCCCTGGTTCAAGTTCTGTTCTATACCAATCAAAGAACTGAGATGCAATTATGAAATGGTGCATATTAATTTTCAAAAGGACCGTAAATGACTCCAGGGTCTATGTCCTACTGATAGCTATGTCTCTTTTCACAGTGTGAGAAGAGCATCTCTATTAACACAACAGTGCTGAAAACGCATAAATGAGAGTCGAGAAATTTTTCTTTCCATGAACAAGTTTCTAATTTCATGTTCCATTATGAAGGATAATAGAAAAGTCTTGCAATTTTAATGCAGTGCTCTGGAATGTAATCTTCAAATTCAATATTTATGCAGTTATCTCCAAATCAAATATTAATGTGCCTGAAAGTTTGGTCATTTATTTATTTCTCTTCAAAACTAAATGCTCATTAGAGTTAATTATTTTAAGAAAATAACAGAACTTTATCGACTATATTTAAATAGGAACATAAAGTTCTTTTCCATGAAGTAATTTCTTTCAACTGCTATCTCTACCAATTTATCACCCTTTACTCTCCTTTTCGAATGGAAGGTTCTTTGACTGCAATAGAAACCCTCAAACAAAATAAACCACCTGGCTACAGCAAAAACTGCTCTAGATAGAAGCTGCCTCAGCCTGTGTGACATGATCCAGGTCCAGCTCCCTGGTACTGTAACAGCTTCAGCCTTTTTTCTGATCTTGGCAGCAGAGGAGCATGACCACGCTCCAGATGAGAAGGTCCCAGCAAATCCTGACTCACAGCTTCATGGTTCCCAAAGTAGTTGACAGGCTCTTTTTTTCTATATGTGCACAGTTCTATGGGTTTTTTTTTTTAGCTAATGGCTTGGAAAAGCATATCTCAGGATATGGAGTGAAATAAGCCAATTCCTGGAAGTACAACTGTTTTCACAACAGACCTCAGCCCCCAAATCTTATACAGCTGGGTTACTAGAAGAGAGTAAACGTACTCTCCAATCACTTACCCTCCAGCAAGGCAGCACAGCCCAGCTAGAGAGGTGCAATGCCTTTAGAGATCTCCCAAGAAATAACCCTTTGGCTTGTGCTTCTTGAAACCCTCCTAGAAACATCACACCAGGTGTCAGACAGATAACAGCTGAAGAGGTGCTTTTCAGAAGGATCACCCTTACTCAGCCTCTTCACACACAGTCACAACACCTCACTGGAATAAGGCAAATTTGCAATTATTAGCAAAGCAAATCATTTCTGTGGCCTACGAAGCAATGATGTGTCCAAGGGGCTGTGAAGACAGCTCTCCACTGGGTGATGCCTTGCTGCTCATTTATGTTCCTTGGCAGCCAAGGGGACCAAGTGTATTTCAGGTCTGCTGGAAGTGAAATAGGAGAGGAGCTGGCACAGACAGCTGAACAGCAACCAAAGTGGAAAAGGTGGGTGAGGCTCCCTTTTGTCCCTCCAGGCTCTCTGCTAGGATGAATGATGCTCCCAGCTTCTCCAGCAATAGCAATTTTGGCACTCAGGCAGGCAAGAACTTACTCTAAGCATATTGAATACTGCCTGAGGGAAAGGGAAAGGGGTGTTTGTATGCCACACAGGCCTTTCCAAGAAATGAAAATCTCTTGGACACTACAAAGAGTTCATAAAGATTCTTGACTAGCCATCCAAGAATGATTGCAGCCACCTCTGAAAAGAAAGAGAGGGAGATGGAGGGCAAAAGCATGGCCCTACTGATTTGTTTCTAGTCTCATGCTGTATTTCATTAGTTTCTGGTTATGCTCAAGGGAATACCAAATCAGTAAATTTTATGAAGCCAGGCCAAGCTTCATAAAGAGCAATGAAATGCAAAAAAAAAGGAGGTTTTCCCCCTTGTCTTTCTCTCTTTGGTCTCACAAAACTGCTTGCAGATAACTCCCAAATTAAAAGTAGGGGAAAAGAAAAAGGCTTATTAATTGCATTTCCTTAATCTTAGTCAATGTGGAAAAATTCAGGTGTTTCCTGTCACCCTGAGCATCAGGTAAGACTGGGATACCTCTGGCAGCTGCAAATGCACTGGCCAGAACAATGACATCCCACTGAACCAAGGCATGGTTGGCCAAATACAGCAGAGATTATCATCAGGTGAAGACAACTGGCCTTTCTGCTAATCCAAAAGAAAACAACAGGAGGAAAATAACAAAGGTAGGAAAAGAGTCAACCAGGAGAAAATAGAATTAAAAAAAGACTAGGATTAAGAAAAGCACACCATTTTGCCTTATTTCATAGAACACTCAATCTAAGACATTTTATGATTCCCCTTATCAATTTAATTCTTCCAAAAGAGCCTCCAGTTTTGAGAGCCTGGGATTCAAAAGTAAGGAGGAAACACAGGATATTAAGAAGGTGTGTCAGCACCTGAGCTCAGCAATCAGACACTGACGCACATGAAAGGTGCCCCTGTGCCCTGTGTGTGGATCCAGCCTCACAGTTCCTAAGTTATTTTTACACTTTGCTAAGAAAACCCCATTGCCTGCAGCACCTGGTCTGTCACTGAGTGCAATGTCAGTCCAGGCAGCTCATGATTGCAATCCAGCTCAGGCAACTCCTCTTACTTTGTAGTTTATTTAAATATTTATAAATGCATTTCAGACAGGATTCTAGGACTGTATAACACATAAAGCATTTGTAGCACATACTCCTACAACATGAGTATAAACACAGCTCTTATGATATGTTGTAACTGCTAATAAATACTGCCACACAGTTACTTTATCAGCAAAAATATCACAACCAAATATCTCCTTTTTGATAGTTTTCTCCAAGGGACAGTGCAAACCACAGCAACTTGTAGAGACCCCTGCTCCTGAATGCTGTACTTACACAGTAAGTCAGAGAGTTTGCTGTTTTCTTTTTCCTGAAGTTTATGAATGAGTAAAACTTCCTAAAGTGTCAGAGGCTATCAGATTGCTAAATGCCATTTACCAGTAATTTTATCACTAAAAGGTTTTTTCTGGAAAGAATACATTTTTTATGGTGAAAACGTTTCTTCCTAAATGTTTCCTGTTTCTGGCCTCTTGCCTAAAGAACCTCCCATTGACATTTCACTGTTAACCTGGTGCACCTACCCAGGACCCCATCATTATTCAGGATTTAAGAATAAGAACCGTGAATAAAAGTTACAAAATTCCAGCAAAACAATTCCTCACAAGTCAAAAGCCAATGTCAAAGCAAAAATCTGTAGAGCCAGGAGCTCCACTAGCATCATGTCCATGTTTCCCTGAGTGTATATGGACAAGCTCCGCATGCTTTGACTTTATCTGCTCTTCTTTTCGTTGTCTTTAGAAGAAAATTTGAGGAAGAAAGTCCATTTCAGTGCAAAAAGTCAAGTAAATATTTTTACAGATGAGAAATGTGAGAGTCACTTGCTGGTAGTGTTTGCACAGCCACCCTGGAAACACTGACCAGAATCAATCAGTTGGGAAGCACAAAACAGTAATTTGCAGTTTAGGTGACCAACTAGAAAGCACTGAACAATAATTGGACAATCTTGAGTGTAGCAGTTGCAAGAAGTAATTTGTGAGCAATCTCTAGGCTACCACACATCTCCATAAACCAGGCACTGAAAAATTCTTTATAATAAGCAGATTGATGAATCTCCAACCTGTGCAGGGCAGAATCATTCCCTGCCTGCTCAGGGCAGAAATTCTGGCCTCACTGAGTATGCTGAGTCCAGCTGACCCTGATTTCACTCCATTTCCATGAGTAACTCTATTCTGTCAAGGGTTAAACAATATTTACACCTGAAATAATTAACAACTGGCTATTTAAACACAATGTCTATATGGTACCAGCTATTCATCTGTTTTTTGAAGGCTAGGATGTTGCAGTGTGTTTCCTGAGACCTTCCTGTCATGCTGAAAGCCTCCAGGGCTGATCTC